CAACACAATATGTGAAGCTTACGTTAAGAAGTTGTCCCGAAGGTGAGGTGCCAAACCTCACCTCTCCTCAAGACACTTCCCACAGACCTCTTCCACCTACACCGTCTTCCAAGTCGAACGAGCGCATCACAGCTCCTTTGCCAGTTAATGTAAGCATATTTTCCGAGCTCTTATGATATTCCATAATTATGTTGCCTTTCTGTGGATTCATACTCTGTTTTCCTCAATTTATATTAAAGTGAATATTATTTTGCCTTTTCAACAGACACAGTTACAAAATCAAATGGAAATGAACAAAGGGAAGATGCTTACCATGTACCTAGACAAACAGCGCAGAGTGCGCGACAACATAATTGTTGAGCTGCAGAGAGGCCCTTCAAAGGTAAGTGAAAGTTGGATATCAGGAAGAGGAATAGAAGGTGCAGGAATAAGGTGATATTTTAATAATGAAACTCTAAGGCATGTTTTATATAGTTTATATCACTCTTGGGTTGTTTATTATGTATTGAGTATTGCATGATTGTTGTTATTGTGATAATGGTATTTTGATATTTTACTTAGATTTCGAGTTGACATGGGATTAGATGAAGCCAGATGTATTCACCACTGCTTTTCAAATTTAAGAATTTTGTAAAAAATATTAATTTTCTTACTTTAATGCTGTATTTTAATTGAATGGATGTTACATAATGGTTATGAAAAGAAATACTTAGTTTTATCCTAATTTATTGTTTAGTCATGCATTAATTATGGTGCAGCTGCTGATCTTTTTTATATTATTGTTTGAGTGTGTGCTATCTAGTTAGGGGCAAGTTCTTTGTTTGCTTAAAGCAATATAGTCTCGCTTTCCTCGGTCTCCCTTGTGTCTGGTTCCTCTCATTCATGTTAACATGATGTTGTGCTGGGGTGACCTTTCCTCACCCATTACCTATGGGTAGCCAAACCATCTCAGTTGTATATCCTTTGCTTTGTCCATTGATATGAATATTACTGTATACCTAGAGAGATTCAGAATTGAATTCTATATTGCGCTTGCATATTCAGCTGAACTTCAAGGCTTTTATGTTTCATTGTCAAATGATGCTGTGGTTCACTTTCTCTTGTTTATGAACCTAATCATTCTCTGCCTAAAAACTGAAGTCGATGCTATCACATGATTTTCCATTAGAAAGATAGGTCAGTAGATTGAAAGTAACTAATAAATGAAATTGTTACATACAGTGGGTAATATTCAAACTCAACTTGGAAGACATTGTATGGGACCATAGTAATTTATTAAGGTAAAGAAATTGAATAAATTGTAAAAAGATAAAAGGTGAAAATTCTTTTCAACATTTTCATTTTTTGTTGTGTTGCAGTACTTTCAAAGTGGCTATAAGGTGGTATAGTGAAGGCATCCAATGGTAATAAAATTTTCAGTTATTGAGAAACTTATTGAAATGACGGTAAAGATGATATAGGTAGATGAAGGTTTTTGTTTAACTTACAGTGGAGAGAAGAAATCAGTAGAACGAAAGTATACTTTCTGACAAGGGAGTGTTTGGATGAGCTATAATTATTTCCATTGCAAAGCATTTTTCATGCTTTCGGGTATCAGTAGGAACACTAGAGGATAGTGAATTCCATCTGAAATTCATATTAATAAATATCTGTTTATCACGGCATCAGTAGTGAAAATTGTTTCTTTTTTCTATTTTTTTTAATGACATAAATTCACACACTGTATGAAACCATAAAGAAATAACATAAATGCTTCATAGATATTTATACTTTTTTTTATGTGAGCTTTCATTTGCAAACCCTTTTGTCAGTTGTATAACAGGACATTGACGAATACCTTTCATATTATATCGTTGGTGCTGGATACGTGCATTGTCCTATGAAATTTTCTTTTGTGAATTTTTCTTACAGTTGGCTCTGCAAGCATTTTACGGCCAAGGAGTCAATGAATAGGTCTACCTGACCTCATCTGATTTCCCAATTCCTTGAATTTTCTGGAAAGTTGTTAAAGTTGTTACTGTTATGGTCTTTATCATTGACTTTATGATTATTACAGTGTAATTAATAATATTAATAACAACAGAAGTAAACTAAAATATTTCTAAATATTAAGAAAATGAGTAAACTGGTGAGATTTGGTAGGATCAGTAATTGACTCCTTGGTGACAAAGAATATGGAGCCACCTGTGTGTAAACAAAATGAATAAACTAAAATCACAGTAGACATGGGATGTATGTACACCTTTCTGGTGTCAAAGCATCAGAGCAAACTTTGTTGAGTCAGTATTTGACAGTTGACGAGCAGCTCCGATATCATCACCATTATTTTTACTGTTATTTATACTATTCTCTTTTTCTTTCTTTCTTTTTTGTTATTATTACTACTACTACTATTATTATTATTATCATTATTATTATTATTGTTATTATTATTATTATTATTATTATTATTATTATTATTATGAGTGTTATATTATTGTTATAATTATGATTTTTTTCTTTTGTTGCAGTTTTAATTACAAGCATAAACAACTTTTTTCTTCTTTATTCATTTATTTATTTACTTTTATATTTTTTGGTTCTGAATAATATTAGTTTTTATTATTTGTTCTTTTCTTTACTTTTCTGATTTATTTGTATATGTTTGCTGTTGCAGGTTTTGCAGAGAAATCTTGAGAAGGAGTTGGATTCTATAAACCGTCAAATTGCCAAAATACAGGAGGAACTCAAGAATATGAAAGACATTGAAGCTCAAGTAAGCATGAGTTTATTTTATTTTCATTTAGCATTTTGTTTATTATTGTTTATATATCCTTTATTAAGTCTTTACTATTTTTTTCTGTTTGAATTTATTAAGCCAATGAAGACTCCATTATTTGTTTATAACTTCAGATCAAAGTGTTTTAGTTGATATTTGTTGAATATTCAGATTGCCAAGACGCCAATACTTCATCATGTCTTGAACTTCATTCTTGCTGCATTATACACGCAATTAGAAATATCACTTGGTTTTCCAACTATCCTCTAAGAGTTAATATGTTGGGCTTATGTATCTCCCACTGAGACCTGCGGACAAGTCTTCTAAATATGTGAAGAGCTCTGAGCTTGTAATATGCTCATGGCAGTACGCAATTACTTGATGCTTTGCTGTGGCCAACTAATTAAGTGTTATTTTGTAATTAGAATAGTGTATTTTTTATTACTTTACTCTTCATAATTTTGTTATATTTTCTTTTGTTTTTTGTTAGTATGTTATGTCTTCATGTGTTGTATTTGTTTTCAGTTACATTCGCACCCGCGCTCCTCTCCTCGCTCTCCTCCCCTCTCCCGTCCATCTTTCTCTCACCCACATAGCCAACTCTCCCACCATCAGACACACACCCGCTCTGTGTCTGAGATTCCCCCTCCTCTTCCTGCCCGAAGCCGCTCCTTAGTGTCCCAGATATCTGCTCCTAATATCTCTGGCTCCTTTGCCTCCCTTACCTGTGCCCCGCCTCTACCCCCACGTCCCCCCCACCTGGAGAGGGTTGGGGAGGGAGGCCTAGCACAAAGTCTAGAGAACATACATAAGGTGCAGAGTCTCTCTCATGTAAGTTGTAGATGACACAAAATTAAAAAGAAAAAAAAGTTGAAGTATACATAGATTTTGTTATTTTGGGTGCTAGATTGCTCTTGCTTGTATTGTGTTTGCACAGATTTTGCCTGCGGTATGATATTTGAATCCTGCTGGACACGCTTTGCTCTGATTGTCCCAAGGGTGATTAACCCTTGAACGACGGATGATTGTCAGGAAATGACAAAAATTTTTCCAGCTCTTAGTTTTAGTTTAGTGTTAGGATCTCCACATGGAAAAATATATAGCTTTTTATGATGATGGGTGGCCATGTTGATGGTACAACAATTTTTTTTAATGAATCTTAGTTATATAATCTGGCAGGAAATTTTTAGTATCTAAAAATAATCATAGAATCTGCTATGGGGAATGTGATTGTGCAACAAATTTTTATATTTGTTTAGTTAGTATATTTTGTTTATAGTTTTATTGTAACCAAGTGTACCTGATTGACATGGGAACATTGTGTATATTTTCCATTATATAATTCAGTAGTGGAAAGAGAACCCAGTTATGTAGGAGAAATACAACATAGCCTGTTTGAGACAACCCACCTGACTAAGCAGATAGACGTAAACTTATGTTTGTGAAGTGGTGGGAAGGAGAATAACTCTGCAATGCAACATATGAATTTTTCATTATTATGTGTCATCAGAAGCTTGGATTTCTAACATAGATACAGTATTGAAAAAAATCTTGCATTGTTTAATTATTAATTTTCATACATACCTTCTAAAAGTTTTTCGTAATAAACTCTCTTCATGTGTAGATATCTTTGTGATTTTGGCTAGTATGACTAGTGATTATCTTGATTTTACTAGTATTTCATAGAACTTGAGACTTCCTTACTATTTTTTAACTAATGCATATATTCCCCATCTTCAGTAGACAAAATGAATTATGAAATGCCCCGTCGTTTAAGGGTTAAATGAATAAAGTTTTAAAACCAATGTTTTGTTGGAAAGCAACACCAAACCTTAAGAGAAGGATGTCAAATTGGTATTCAGTCTGAGCAGTTTTCCTTTGAAGTGACTTTGGTAACATTTTTGAAAATTTGCATATGGTCAGGTTTGCACATGTTCAGTTGGTCAAAATGGTCATGTCTTGATTTACAGCAGAATTGGATGGCTGTTATGAGCATCTGATGATATCTGAACAAAATGTAAGAAACATTGTTCATTTGTGTAAAAAGAAAGAAAGAAAGAAAAAAGAAAAAATTGAATGCCTTACAAGATATTCTAATTTCATGTTTGATGAGAAAATATGGGTGCTGTGGTAAGACCATAATGATATCAAACATAACTGATTTTAATGGCAATACGTTTCATGCTTATTAAAGTTTGAGACCTTTAGAAGTCACTGATGTTTTCAACATCAGTACCTAAAAAGATTAGAAAAATATTACAAATGATTTTTACATCAGCAAAGGACTTGGTCTCTTACCTGAAGCTAATTGTATTTGTTACTGCTGCCATTTACTTTTGGGGAAAGAAGTGCATCTCCATAGAGTTGCAAGCTAACTGTATTTTATGTGACTGGCTATGAATTGAGTCTTGACCATTTTCTTCAACTGCATGCACGCACATACATGGGTGATTAAAACTAAGCATATGCTGGGTATGGTATAAAATTTGAGCAGTAATGTAGTTTGCTTCCTCCACATGCAGAAGATGGTGATATAATCATTTGTTTCTATACATGTACATAATATTCACATCCTGTATATTCATGTGGTAGTATTAACAACAGTGAAATATATTACAAGGTGATGTATAAGGCTAATACTACTTATAAGTCCTTGAGCATGTATCTATTGATTTTGTTTAAGGATTGTTTCAGGCCATGTGATGATTTGTTAGGAAATGATTTTTTTTTTATGAATTCAACTTCCTATTTTGGCCTCTCTCATCCTGTTAAGACATATTCCATCTAATATTTGTGGATCCACTCCTTGAAAACTATATGGCATGTTATAGTTTACAGTGTGAATATGCACCTCTAATACTGTGTTGTGTAACTATAGCACAATTATTTATTGGAATTTTGTTATGACTGCATAACTTGAATGTCAGCTTGCACAGTATGCCTTTGTACATTTCAATTGCACATTGAATTGTTGCTATTTAGTAATGAAAATAACAGAGATTTTTCTTACGTGGTACTGAGAATGCTTAAGCCTTGTATAAATACTTTTTATTTATATTATCTTTAAAATTGATACTTTACACTGACCTCATTGAGTAATTTACAGTTTTCAGTCTTTTATTTTTCATAAAACCTTCAAAATGATGTATGTTCCCTTAGAAAATAACATTTTGATAATTTGTGAAGTACTTTGGAATAAGGAAAAATCTCTGTAAATTAGGATGTATCTGGTTAATATACCCAGATTATGGGTGACTTCAGCATTCTGTTTACATCTGATTCTATGTATTATGACTCATTTTGTTAACGTATCTCATGCTATGAATTTATTTTTTCCAGTGGAAAGCCTTGATTCTCTGTACAGAAAAAATCATTTTGCATTATATTACGGTTTCTTCATGATATATAGGTCATTGTCCAGCCTGTTAAACAATTTTATTTTGATAGAAGTCTTTAATTAATCTGGGAAATAATTAGGGAATAGGTAGCAGTATCATGCACCTTCATTTATACACTGAAGTTCATTTAAAATGCCTTGAACTTAATTGTCATCTGTTTTACATCCTGATTGATTTTTATCATGTCTTAAATGCTAGGAAACCCAAATTATTTCATGAGAAAATTGATTATTATCATGTCTTAAATGCTAGGAAACCCAAATTATTTCATGAGAAAGCAGAACATGAATGTTATGCATGCATGTGTAATAACAGTTTGATAAAACAAATGGTGACTCCTTGTTCTGTGATTGTTTTGCCATGCCATTTAATATCTTGCATAGTGTTGATATTTCCCCTGACATCCATTTGATATGTACATAAGTGTAAAATTTGTGACTTACTTTTGTCTGTGTAAGAGTTGACTTGATTTCAATATATGGCTATATCATTAATGCAAATTGTAAATTGGTTCTGTATATATATATCTATATGCCTTGATATCTGTAATTAATCATTTTGCCTAAGTAGCTGATCATAGTTTTTTTTTCATAATACCCTTTATTGTAGCCCCTCGAAAAAAGTAATAATTATTATTGTCTATTTTTGTTGTAAGTGTCTATTATTATATTACTAAAGGAATGTAGATGCCCAGTTTTGATTTGCTTAAAGAATGTTAACAAAGAAATATTCTTTGTCTCTTAACCAAAAATTATGATATGAAGAAAGCCACAGATGAGAGACAACAGATTTTTAAACTATCCAATAGTCTTACGTACCTCAATATTAGTTCTTCATTGCCTTATATAGAGGAGAAACTAATAAAATTATCATGAAAAGTAATAAGAAAAAATGCAGACATTCGTGGATACACATGCACCTACTCCTATACATGCACAAGCACATGTACATGTACAGGCACTTGCACTTGTGCTTGCACATGCATGCACACACACACATGTGCATACAGACATGCACATCTGCATACACATATACACACATGCACACACATACACACATAATCACAAAAACACACATTGCAGTTCTTAGTATAATGAATTAATAAAAATTCTTAATGTAACTCAAATATTTCAATTACTTCATAGAATTTGGATGCACATAAATGCGTTATGACTTTATATTATTTTTTGGCTTTCAAACTTTATGTAGTGATTTTTTATTTTCCATTCAGTAAGAAAAAGATTCACAAGCTCTTTTTTATTTTGAGGTTATAAGCTTAGAATTCAGAATTGAGGGTTGTTTTATGCAAGGTCATCATGTTTAACAGGCTGACAAAAAGACAAAATTATTGAATGCTTTAAGTGCTCCCACCACTAGCTTGAGAGAAATAGTCAGAAGATTCAAATTAACCATTTGTATTACAGTCGGCAAGTTCAGTGTCAGAACCTGGTAGCCGGCCAACATCGCACTGCAGAACCAAGTCAAGCCCCGATCCCCTAGGTCTTCACAGTAGTCCAGGTAATACATTTGTAAGGATGACAGTGGTAAAGAAGTTACTTTACATGGTTTTCTTGACTGTTTTGGATGGCATTGTATCATGGATATTCCCTCGCCATTGGCTTGTTGGACGGAGTTTGTTTTTCTCCGTTTTAGGAAATTTAGATTTTAGATTTTAGGAAATAGCACCTATAATGAAGGTAAACCTTCAAAATTATAATATTTTTATAGATTATAACAAAATAAAGCTCTTAGGTGCCAAATGTTGCTTGCAAACCACCAAACGAGCCGGGTGCACAATAATCCTGTTTTTACATCCACTTGCCAAACTTTTTTACTGGCGGAAATGGGTTAATACCTTCAGTATTTGACAACATTTAAACTTCTTTTAATGATACTGAATCTTGATAAAGGGCAAGTGTCTTTATTAGGAATAGAATCATATCGAAGAGTAAGATATTAGAAAATATGTTTACATTATTTGATATACATTTTCTTTTCACAGGTCCTTGCAGATTAAGTGGAAGTGACTCGGTCAGTGACTTAAGCCAGACAGGATCAAATACAAATCGCAGTAAGGTATCTTCTGTGTATAGTGAAGACATGGTTCAGGGAGAGCCTCCAGGAACCCCCCCTCCACCATATGGCTACTTACCTGCAGATGAAGCAGATGAAAATTATTCAGTAATCATGGATGATGTGAGTATGAGGAAATGAGTAGATGTGATTGTCAGATTTTTGTATGTGGATGTCTGTTGTCATAATCTTAGGGCTAGAATTGCCGTTTCGGAAAACGTTTGGCACATGTTTGTGTGATGACCAGTTTTAAGCAAACTGAATATCTGGAAGGTTTGCTTCCTTGTGGGAAAGGTGTCAGGCTACACACTTCCTTTTTATAATTTGGATTATCATACATTGGAACTTGTATGCTGTGCCTGTAATCAGTCTGACTATTTATTTGCTTATTTTTATGTTGACTTGTTTGCTAATCATATTGAGTTTTTTGTCAGCATGTTTGTATGGACTGTTTTATTTTTATATTGAAGAAAGATGCTGACAGTAAGGCTGCAATATTCTGTAAAGAAAAAGGAAATTTAGCTGTACCTAAAATGCTAGTCTGAAATTTTATTGTATTTATTAGACAAAAGTTTTTAAAGACAATTGCATTAAACATCTAGCAATAAGCATAACAGGCTTTTGTCAACTTAAAAGCAGGTGTGGATATTATGAAGTGCCATGAGCAGAGGGAACATATAAGCTTATAAACTTCATATGCTTTCAGTTGAAGAAAGAAAAATATTACTTTAATCTGTGTATACAGGTACCTGATATGACCACTTTTTTTGTGAATGTTGTTGCACAGAGATATCTCCATAAGTACTCAGCTACCAACAAGTCAATTAATAGACCCTGTATGACGTCACTTTATTTAGTCATTCCTTGAATTTTTTGGATTTTTTTTCTTTTTCAAATGCTGTTGATATTAATATGGTTGTTATTATTATTATTATTATTATTATTATTATTATTATTATTATTATTATTATTATTATTATTATTATTATTATTATTAATATTGCAATCATTATAGTATTATTAGAATACTAATAGTAATAAGGAATTCAGAAAAATCTCTAAAAATCAAGGAAAAGGGTAAATGAGTGTGATAAGTAGGACTAGTAGTTAACTCCTTGGTAGCTAAGTAATTGTGGAACCAACTATGTGTGAACACAATTGATAATAAAAATTACAATGGATATGACATGTATGTAATGCCATCCTAGCATGAAGGATTAAGGTGGCTATAAGAGTCCTGTAACCTCTGCCATACGCTCATCAGTCAAAAGCATTTTGTTAACATTTCATTGCCCTGTGCTTTTATCCTATTTTTATCCAGGAAGAGGGAAAAGGCTTGCTGATACTTCAAATAACTTCTGCATATACATAGTGTTTCATTTGTGTAATCCAAATCTCTTAGGAACATTCACATACTATCAAGGAATCTTGGGGTTTGCATTATCCTTTGCAGTTTCACTAATTTGCAAATGTAAATATATGAGTAGCTGTCCTTTTAAAGTATTTTTCTTTGAATAAATATATTTAAAATAGGTATTATATTTTGTTTGCATTACAAAAGTAAAGAGACAAGGTAATTTATGAAAAGATTTCTATATTCCATTGCTGCCGGGTAAATATATTGTCCAGTATTGTATGTATAGATGGCTCCACAATTGCTCATTTCACCTAGGGGCCAGTCAGGTGACCTTACCTGATTTCCCCTTTCCATTAGTTGTTGGGGAAAAAGTTTTTTTTCCCAGTGCTATTGATGTCATTGTTGTTGCTATTATTATTGACATTAGGATGATTTTAATGTTGATAATAATACTAATAGCATTAAGATATGAAAGAGAATTTTTCTGAAAATCTTGTAAAAGGTAAACAGGGGAAATAGGTAGGAATAGTAATTGACTCCTTGGTGACTAAACACATGTAGAGCCATCTATGTGTAAACACAGTTAAACAAAAATTCACCTTGAACATGATTGTAATTTTGCCATAATGGCATGAGTGGTTTAAGGTTTAAAAAATTATTAGGTTACAGTTGTTTCAGATACTTTTAGTATAGTAAATGACTATATAAATTTCACATCATCTTATCAAAACTGGTAGTTCACTAACACGCGCACATGCACTTTCGCACACACATGTGCACACACATGCACATGCGCACACACATGCACATGCGCACACAAACTCACGCTCCCTCTCCCTCTCTCACTCTCACACTCACACTCACACTAACACTTGTGCTCACATTCACACACATTTACTCAGTCATACTTACACACATACACACACTTACATTCACACTTCCACTCATACTTACACACACACTAGGAAGAATCTTTTTATCTGAGTGTGAATTATATAACCGTAAGAAAAACTTTAATATGATTTATCTTTAGAATTACCAATATTTTTAATTCATAGTGTTGATCTTAAATAACATCTGGAAAATTCACAGCTTTAATTTTTTATGGAACTGAAATGAATCATCAATGTATGGTAATATTTTGATTATTTATTTTAAATTCATAGTTTTGATCCTAAATAACATCTGGAAAATTCACAGCTTTAAATTTTTATGGAACTGCAATGAATCATCAGTGAGTCACATAAGGGGTATGGGTTATTGTGTATAGTGTGTTAGAACCCATTCTACGCCTCAAAATAATCAGCATGATTGTAAAACAGGCTTTGTGTGTAGAGAAAGACACAATATTTTATACAGTTTTATTGAAAAGGTCAGTTACATTTCTTGATTAGAAGTGTTAAAAGTATTGTTTCTTTTTCTTCCATCATGTCAACTCAGAATATTGTTTTAATTATTGAGCAAGGGGCTTTGACTTACATAAAGGTAAATGGTACCGGTAAAATATTTATTAACTAATTTTCATAATACCCACACTTGTTTTATGACAGTCCTGGTTAGTTGGATTACTGTCTTGCTATGCTTAACTAACACTATTTCCATTGGTGTGTGTGTGGGGTAGTGTGATGGTGGGGGAGAGTTTGCACCTTCTGCTCCCCCCCTCCCTTCCCTTCCTGGCCCCCCCCTGCCCAGCAGACCATCCTTACCTGGCCTGCCGCCCAAGCCAGGGTCGCATCATGCAAGCCCTTTTGCTTCTCAAGTTACAAGCCCTACCAGCCCAGATGGACAGGTAAC